TTCTGGTGGACGTGAGTCGCTCAAAAACGTCTTTGCTTAAGTTTTCTAATAATTGATAATGACGCAGACTGCACTGCATGTTTCTTCAACTAAGCATCAAAAAACGATTGTTTGCGCGTATCAAGAATTGTTTGAAAAAATCAGTCACTTCAAAAAATCAGTCCCAGTGACTTTGTTCTTCCCGTCTATAACAAGTGATTGCGGAGTTACGCGATCAGTATTTGGGTACAGGTGAGGCGCTGAGGGTTTGAAAACCTGCACGTCTTTTAGCCAAAAGACCCTGAAATACGTACCCTGTTTAGGAAAACACCCTAAATTTCATCACCCAGGGCTAAGGAACAATGTACGCCGTCTTGCTTTAAATTTATTTATTGACAATTGCAATTGAGAAAATTAATGTTACAGCCATTGCTTTGGGATACCTAACGTACAAAAAACTTAAATGGAGCAGTTAAAATAATTAGTGCATGCTATACCTTACGTATAATTAGGACAAAGCTACCACAAACGAAGATGCACATTTCGGAAGCTTAAAAATTGCATAGTGCCATTGTGGGTATAAAGAAGACACGTTTAAACCCAATTCATGAGTTATTCGCCCATCGCTGAATACCAGCTTTCCAACCGTCTGTCAAAATACAAGTTCCACGCTATGGGCAACGCATATTTTAACATTTCAATCATGAACTCAGTTGTCGTTACCTCTCTTGAGTCTATGGAGTCTTATTGTTTTAGTCTTATTCTTGTAGTCTTACTGACTTAGGATGAATAAATCAAATCTCTTGTAAAGAAAATATATCTCGGTGTCTATAAGAACTTATTTTTTTACGTCATCGTTAATCTAATCTGACAAAATAGCAATTGATAGCCTTATTGAAGGCAGTGTTAATATCAAACCATGCAGGACAAGAGAACTCAGCGCTGTTACAGTCAACGATATGATATAAGAGTACAGTTTAGATGTTTCTCAGGATATCCTTTGCTGTCGAGTTTGCCACTTGAATTCGCGCTTCATTTGCTTCAGTCTGCAAAACAATAGCAAGAAGCTTTTACTAAGTAACAATCAGAGCAAAGTCGGTCATAAACTCGATCTTCGGAAGAAAACTGTTTCGCCTAGTTAACTTTCAAAAGGCTCTGGACAACATCTTTTGTTCGCCTTTGGAACATCTAGACTTAGTGATAATATATACTTAAACTCTCTTGAGTATGTTTCACGCAGTGGAAATATTGTTCTTCGTTCATAACTGATCACATTCCAGACTTTCTATCCATTGACCCAATTTTCAAAACTCAACGAATATGCACTGATCTCTGACGTCCAACAAGTTGACTGGCCTGAACTATTTCATGGCATTGATAATGATAATAATGACGTATTTTCCTGCTTCATAACTCAGTCCAGTGAAATAATTAATTCTCATGTTTGTATTCAAAGCCTCAGGCACTTTTTTACCTTTGCATTAATACGATCCAGCTGTCTGTTCTGTGTGTCAATCTCTTTCCCCATGTCCATTGCCATAGATTTTAAGTTGCCAACAATGTTTGAAACCTGACTGTAAAAACCAAAAAAAGGAACAATAATAAAGATGGTAAAATAGTGGTTTCCAAAACGCCAAATTCACCCAAACAATTTACTGATTATCTACCAAAGTTAGACTTGCTAGTTCATTCTTTTTCAACCCTGTATCTCCTTCTGAAATTGACTCTGAAACAACGACTACCGTATTTATTCGAATAAGCGCCCAACCTCGAATTAACGCCCACCTCGAATATGTGCCCATCCTAAAGGCAGAAAAAGTTAATAAGCGCGCGGCCTCGAATAAGCCTCCATTCCAACCCCCTTCCCTCCCACTCAAACTCCATAATGAAAATGGTGAATATTTAATAAGCGCCCTCTCTCAAGGTCCAAAAATTTAATAAGCGCCCAGGGCGGTTAATCGAACATATTCAACTTAACTTTCAAACGGACTGAACTGAGGACAGCCGATCAGCCATTAATTACACCATGAGCAACAACGAGTTTAGAGTGATCGGGGATGGTGCAATTTAACAGTAAATTACTATATAAGAGAAGTCTAGAACAAAATGTGTGACATGTAGATAGGCGTCACATTTTACTTCCCCCCCTACAAAAATTTAATTGTAACAGCCTTATAAATAAACACAACTGTGTCTTTTAAGACAAACGTAACAAAAACTTATGATTACTGACCTTCTATTTCGATTCTGTTATTCTACAAGAACGTTCTTAAAATCGGTGTGCTTGGAGACTAGATAAGAAATGAAGTGATTAAGTTTACACGAAACAGGATTTACTCGCTAAAGGTTTTTCACTTCCTACTTTATTTTATAGACGGTTGAGTCGGACAAAGCTTCGGCCACGCAACGATTCTTATTCCCAGTTTCCACGGTCTTCGAGAGGAATGGCTGGGACCACAACCCTTGTTTTGTGTACTAAATACGAAGAAAAAAAACGGCTTCCAGATTATGAGTCTCGCTGCTTACGCAAGCGCTACTAAAAAGTACATCTCCTCAGAATAAAAGTGACATGGTGCCATGCTTCATTGTTTCTTAAATGTCAGCTGGAGAGCATGAACGCTGAGATAAAGCAAATTACTTTCAACTGTCAAAATTCTATTGATTTTACGTGTGACTTTCTCTGTCAAGAATTTACGAGTTTTGGCTCCTAATGTAGAGACGTCTTGTAAGCGAATTCGGTTTGGATAAGAGATATTTTGATAGAATTTACGGAACGTTTCTTCTGTGGTTAAGCTAGATCAAGTTCCCTCAATGTCGTCGTCAAGAATAAAGGTGTTAAGACAATTTTACTTGTAGTTTTGAAGGCCAAAAGTCGCATGCCATTCATAAAATAGAGCGCAAACAAAAATTCAACAAAAACATATCGTTGTAGTCAATAAGATAAATCAAAGTTTTAATTGTTTTATAAAAGAACTACAAAAGACTATAACTTAATCCGCGTTTCTTTTTCTTGTGTTCAAAAGTATTTTCTAGGATAATTTTCTCTGTTATCTATAGAGCTTCCAATCATCAACATGTAGACTGAAAGAATTAAAAACTTAAATGTCTTTTAAGCTTTCAAATCCGAATTCAAATCTAGCACTAACCCTGGGTTATCTTAACCCAGCTTTGAACAACTCGGCCCAACACTGTTTAAAATCATCAACAACTATAATTTAGATGGTGATGCAGCAAGAGACGCTGTTTTTGATGTCTTTGTTTTGATCTTCAGGAAACGCACATTGATCGCGCAAAATTCTTTGATCGTTCCGAATCACTGCGACGTTGAGAAAAACAGAACCAAGTACCACAGGTATACTACTCCGTTGTAAGTAGTCCGTGAATAAAAAGGGAAAGTAAACTCTTCGTTTTCCGAAAATATGCTCGAACACAACGCAAACAGTTCAAAGACACAGACTAAAGACATGGTATTCACAGGATCTAACTCGTACTGGTGTCCATCTAAGTCCGTTGAGAACAAGCTGGACCAGCAAACGGTCGTGTTTATCGTTGCCGTGAATCAAGATAAATACAAGATGGAATCTAGCCGAATTCTAAAACGTTTTCTTCGCCAGAGGTTTAGTTCCGTCACGAAACTCAAGGCCATGCTGTTGTATTAGTTTAACAATAACAGCCGCCGTCAACTCGATAGCCGCTTCATTATATGTCCACATACTTCGAGCACAAAAAAAAATCCAGCAGCCTCTAAAAGAACTCAGCAGAAAGGTTCTGTGAACTTTAAGGAAGATTCCATCCCTCATTGTGGAGTAGGCAAGGTAATTCGCTGCCAGTGCAGCGGCCGCTGATAAGAGAACACTGAAAACCACTTTAAAAAATTCCAAGGGCAAACAATTTCAAAAATCACGCAAAAAAAAAACTTCTTCTATAATCACCATAGAACGATTCTTGACACAAAACTTCGCTAACTATCAAACCATGGCTGAGATCTAAACAGATCAATAAAAACAGCGATTCCAAAATCTCCATCAGAACTTGAAAGTTTTCAATTTTTTTTTTTCATTAGCTCGCGCATGCCCCACGGGTGACATTATTCTAATATTCACAGAAGTTAAAAATGTTTGATTGGCGGGAATTTGTTTCACGCTGAAGCAGATTGCACGAGATCGATGTTTTTGAGGATAATTATTCACTGCCTATCAGCACACAGGGATGTGGTATTAACACAGGGAAGTTTAATAGCAAAAAAACGTAGTCTTCACAGACCTTTAAAACACAGCCTCCGCCAACACAGACCTGACCTTTAGAAAAGTACAGCGGTCAGCGGTACTAGGACTTAGCATGTGTTTTATCTGTCGATCGTAGTCTGGCGTCCGCCATATTGTTACCGTTACTCGGCTGTTAGTTGTATTCCAGTTTGATTAAAGCCTTACGCGAATTGGTCGTGCCTTGGTTCTTGCCTCATCTCCTTAACTGGCGTGGTGGCAGCGTTCGGTTCACTTTTAAGCCTCGACCGCAGGAACCAAAACAGTGTATCCTTCGCCGTGAAAACTCTTCCCGGAGTTTTACATCGTGTGTAATGGCGTCTTCTCACCGCGCACCGAAACAGTGATGCCTGTCTAAGGTGGAAACTATCAATAGCTTCGAGAATTGGAAGCAAAATCTGCTTTACACATTATCGTTGGACAGCAACTTCGCCTCCTTCCTAGCCGATGATTGAAAAAGACCAAAGCTTAACCACTTCGAGGACTCGAACTCCATGGCGATCCCGTACCTCTTGCTCGACGCATCACCGCTCGACAAGAAGTCAACTTTCTCGAGCTGCCGCTAGGTCAGATTGCGAATTATTGCCCTATCATTTTCCGAAGCACTTTGTTGAAAAATTCAACGTCACTCGAATTCATCTCGCCAACTATTCGCCAACACTTTGGTTACCAGGCCACCGGCGCACAATTTATCGATTTTTCTTTCTGACATACACCTTGCCGCGCATAAGCGCCCTGAGGATCTGTACCAACGCCTTTATGGCTTTTGTGGAAGATTCCTTACTACACGCTCACCGTTTAACTCACCATGGTGAACATGTTCCAGAGGATGAGGAACTAACTCCTACCCTAGAAAACTTTGTCGTTCTTACTTGGTTGAGACTCATCCACTCCAATCTCCCTGGTTTAGTCAAGCAATGCTACAGCACGGAGTTGAGATCTCGCACCCTCGCCTCAATTAAACCCGAGATCTCTCAGGCACTTAATTCTCTCCTCGAGAAAATCCGCGCTTCTGATGACGCTAAGATTCTACGTGCAGCGGTAGCTTTTCTTAGTAGTAGATTGGATTATTGTAATAGCCTTCTGTATGGAATCCCGGAATATCAAACTATGAAATTGCAACGTGTTATGAATGCGAGTGCAAGACTTATAATTATATCGTGCGCACAAGTTCTGTCATATAACACCTCTACTCGCAGAATTACATTGGTTACCAGTGCGCTCCAGGATACATTATAAGATACTCTTGATAACTTTTAAAATTTTGCATGGCCTATCACCTAAGTACCTTTCAGATTTAATTAGTATTCAACAGCCTTCTTCCTACCATTTGAGGCGCAACGACAATGGTCGTTTGTTGGAAAGACCAAGTGTAAAAACCAAGAAAACATTGGGAGACAGAGCTTTCCAGGTAGCTGCTCCTTTCCTATGGAATAAGCTGCCAAGGTCCGCGCGCGAAGCAACGAACTTAGATTCTTTTAAGACTTTAATTAAGACATTTTTATTTAAGGATTCATTTCAGTTATCTTAGTATATCTATATCTTTATTTGTAATTATCTTTTACTCATTTAATGTAAATATTTTTTATGATTTTTATAGAAAGATTTGTAAAAATTTTACTTATTAATTACTGTTGTGATGCGCTTTTGAATATTTTATAGAAAAGGCGCAATACAAATAATAAATGTTATTGTTATTGTGTTATTGTTATTGTTAGCTGGTGATTTTCGTCGCTCTCATCCGGGTGGCAGGAGTAACCCTAAGACCCGCACCAGACAGCCCCGTCATGATCAGGTCAAGGTCTGTCCCTTATGCAAGCAAGCTGGTCGCTCTAACACAAACCACTTCCTAAGTCAGTGTACCTTTCTCCCTGACAATGACAGGCACTTCATGGTAAAAGCGAGACAGATCGTCGGCATCCTAGACGACGAACAAGACACCAACTGCGACCTTGATCCTGATCCACCCTGTCCTAAAACCACTTTGTCTACCCCTGTTTTTCCAATGTAAACTCATTTAGATATGGCAAACAATTATAGTTATAACGTTAATAACGATCAAGGAACAAACAAATCTTATGTCGATCAACATGTAGCCAAAGCTGGTGATACGATGTCGGGTGATCTGAATATGGGTGGTAATAACAATACAAATATAATGTTGGAGATGCAAAACGTGGATCAGATGCAATAAACATGAATTTTTATAATAAATGGGCTCCACTTGGTAGTAGGGACCAAAATCAAAATTTTTATTGCCAAAGGAAAACATTGTATAATAATTATATATCAGGGAATGATAGTAAAGTGATTAATGTTAAATAGGCTAAGGATAGATATTTGCCTTCTGTTGCAATGAGTGGAAATTTGCAGATGGGAAGTAATCAGATTACAGTGACCCTAATGCAAATGATCATGCAGTTATATTAATTAACAAAAAATATGTTAATGATAATTATTTGAGCTTACACGAAAAAAAAAACAAATGGTAGCTCCTTTGAATATGAATGATAATCGAATAACTGGATTAACAAATAATGTTTTATACCTTACTAAAGTAGCAATAAACAGTATGTTGACAATGCGATTACAAAAGGAAATATTAGTCATACTGCAAAAAAGTATCTCATGGATGATGTTAATCAATGGTCTACAGAATGGTGTGGTATGGTGTTAACGTTACGAAAATTGATGATTTAGACATTTCTCCACATTATTGGAATAAAGAATGTTTATTTGTATCACCGATAAAAAGATTAGGCTTTTATATGTGAAAAGTTGGAATACAATGTTTTCGTTTAACAACAAATCAAACATGTACATTGGTGATAGAACTTTACAATAAAGACTTGCTAATATATGACAAAACAAGTATAAAGATCGAAGGATCGGGTAGTATATAAATTGAAGGGCATAATACACAAAAGTATACTGGAAATTTTCTATGTTACACAAAGACTTTAGTCCAATTTAAAAAAAAGTGGTAGCGCTCCTATGTTTGTTTATTTCACTGTTCATTATGAGAAACAAGGAACTGACTTGAAAAAATACCCACAGGTATTCAAGGATAATATTTATATTGTTTCCTATGGAGTAGATGGCGTCACTGATCATGTGGATAGTGATGTGTATGATTATCATCGGTCATATGAGATTGATAAACTCAAATGAAAATTCTTGTACCTCTTAATTTAAATGGTAATAAGTTAGCCAATGCGTCACTGGATACAAATGACAACAACAGTGTTAGTACTGTTGAATATGTAAATTTGAAAACCAAAATATCTAACACTCTCAAATATGATTACAGAGAATTTTTTGACGTGGTAATTGATTTTACAAATGCTAGCACATATAAATTTACCCAAGTATCATCTGGTGTTGTTATAAATAATCTAGGAGGTAAAATACAAATCAATAATAAAATCCTAGATCTACAGCATATTTCAATAGACAGACTGAATTGTAAATTTTCTTCTGAGATTTCGTCATCAAACCAATTTTTAAAACTGATTACTGATGATCAAATAACAAACCAATCCAGTTTTACATTGGCTCTAGTAGTAAAGCTTGGTGATATAAAACAGAGTGAAATAAATAATCTTTATCTGCAAGTAAATACTGGAGGAAATACACATCAGTTCCTTGCTTTCATGATTTCACTTCGAAATTCGTGCATTTGGTGCCGGCTCCCGTATTGTAGCCCCATCATCATTAAACGAGAAAAAAATACTACTTTAGATTGCTAAATCAGGCACAACTTTTAAAATGTCAATTTCAAATTATAGTGCTCAATCCGTTGGTTCATATTCAATTGCTAATCCAACCAGAGAACTTTTTCTGGAAACAGCTGATTTGATTTTAAACAAACTTTATGTGCATGATTATGTTGCTCATCAGTAATTCCCTCAACAGTTAATATACTGTAAAAACTATCCTTGGAGTGCAACTGTTGGTCATCAAACTTATCAACTTATCAAAGGCTCATATAATCGTAAGGATATACCCCCTTCTTTTTCATACGAGCTAATTTCTCATCTTGAAAAACCTTTGATGTATATTTGAAAGCATCCATAGGTAAATTAGCTGCCAATCTCTCTAAACTACTAGCCATGAATTGCAAACTATTCATAAATACCAAATGCTTTCCCAACATAAAAGCCATGTACCATGTACTTTTCCATATTATTGGGAATACACTTTATTTCCATATCATTATCCTTACTAATAGAAAATAAAATATATAAAGGTGACTATCATAGCCTCTCAGATTATGGAAAATAACAAGCAGTTTAACCAGAATTTCCCTCAATATTTTCAACGTATTGCTGCGATTTCAAGTTGCTTGAAGAAAACAGCTCAAGAAATTGCCGTAACGAAAAGAAGACGTACTAAAGGAACAAGAGGTTTTTACTTTTCTGACAACAGGCCACTCTCCTTGACTAAACTGAGATGTAAGGACTACTACAATTTATTTCAGGAAGGTAAAACTACAGAGCCTACTGCTGTTAAACGCTGGTCTAGCTTCTTTCCTTACTTTGCCACTAGTTGGGAATAGCCTTTCAATAATAATAATAATACTTTATTAAACTCTTCTCAAATTGAAAATTAAGTACAAATTTACGATAACTATAGTTAAAAAAAGACTTCTTGGTGGTCTGGTGGTTTTCAACAGAGCAAATGTAAACAACTGTCTATAAACTAAAAAAAAAGAAAATTTCTATGTTCATCCCAATGATAAATACAATAATTATTAAATTTTACTATTTACAGATTCAAGAATATGAAATATTAAAATATATACCCTATGTACATTCTTCTTGTGTACGATTTATAAATCGACTAAAGACAATAAATTAAGAGAATTTGGTTATAAAATTCTCCTTAGAGTTTCAGTAACTAACAAAGAACTTAAGAAATTCAAAATCAGTAATGATGATCTTTGTGATCAGTGTAAGACGCCTGATTCACTGGAAAATACCTTCTTACAATGCCCTGCAAATGTCAAATGTTATTATGAAATCTTATCATGGTTTAATGTGTCCCACAATACTCTTGTTAATCTTTCCCCTGAGCAAATTCTGATGCAGAAATATATCCCTCGTCCTATAAATTATAACCTCAGACGCCCACTAGAACTACTCATCCTGTTTATCAAAAAGTATGTATGTAGTTGTAAAATTAAAGTAGTGCCCCTTAACTGTACCCAATTTATAAATAATTTAAAAACACAATGCAGGTTGTTTGGAACTGTCAATAGACTGACCGGCAGTCCCGAGAAAGCATCATCTTACTCGCTGGAATGTGATGGTAAAGTCCTGAATGAGATGGAGTTAGCTGTCACCTTAAACCAATTTTATGTTTCCGTTAATGAGGACATTCCACCTTTGGATGCCACTACATTACCAGCTTTCTTGCGGCCGAGACTTGTGTTCCAACTATCCAACCTCATGGAGTTTGCAGGAAGCTCTTGGCAGTTCAGCCTTTCAAAGCCTAGGGACCTGACAATGTGCCATGTCGTATTTTGAAAGAATTCGCCTATGAATTAGCGGAACCTGTTACCACAATTTTTAATCCATCTCTTGCTTCTGGAATTGTTCCTGCTATTTGGAAAGATTCAAACATCACACCAATCTCAAAGATCCAGTCCCCTACAAATGAAGGTTATTTCAGTCCTATATCCCTAACGCCCTGTTTGTCTAAGGTTTTAGAGGACTTTGTGGTCACGTGAATGATTGACGATATCAGGAATAGGATTGCCCCTAACCAGTTTGGCTGCTTAAAAGGTACATCCACCGCGTTTTGTCTCCTCGACATGATGCACACCTGGTTGTCCTATCCAGATTCACCTAATAAACACCTCCGTCTTTGCTTCTTGGACTTTTCGAAAGCCTTTGACCGTATTAGTCACAACGTACTGATTAGAAAACTGGTAGATGTAGGTGTTCGACTGTGTCTTATACCATGGATCATTAGATTCCTTTCAGACCGAAGACAACGCGTAAAAATTGGAGAAGCGTTTTCGGATTGGCTGCCACTCAATGCCGATGTACCCCAGGGAACCAAACTGGGCCCTATCCCATTTCTCATCATGATCAATGACTTATCCATACCCTCTCCTGAGACAAATCTCTGGAAGTTTGTAGACGATGTTTCTATTTCGGAATGTCTTACTAAGAACGGTAGTGCGTCCATTCAGTCTACATTAGATACTGTCAGCTCCTGGGCTTCGATGAATCTGATGAAGCTTAATGCTAAAAAGTGTAAAGAGCTACGTGTGTGTTTCTTTAAAGCGATCCCTCAACTACCCCCCTTACGAATCGATGGACAAGTACTCGACACAGTTCATTCGCATAAGGTTCTAGGTTTGGTTATCCAGCACAAACTGAAATGGAATGAGAACACCTGTATGATTGTATCCAATGCATCCAAGCGTCTGCACATTATCCGTGTTCTACGTAGAGGTGGCGTCCGTGCCGCTGATCTTCTTGCTATCTACGTCGCTCCCGTACGTTCCGTCCTAGAGTACTGTTGCGTGGTTTGGCATAACGCCCTTCTCGCCTACCTGTCTAGTGAAATAGAGCGGGTCCAAATGCGAGCTTTAAGGATAATATACCCTCGATCCTCATACCAGGAAGCCTTACAACGTGCTAAAATCGCTAGCGTTGAAGACAGGCGCAATGCACTCTGTATGAGGGCTTTTGATAAAATTACCAAAGGCGGACCCTTGTCAAAACATCTAACCCCGACAAGTTCTATTGCCCATGACTACTCCCTTTGAAACTCTAACTCTTGGACGTCTTTTAAATGTAAAATCGAGCGTTTTAGGCGAAGCTTTTTCCCTAGTACTGTCCTAATGACAAACGCAACATCCTTCAAAAATTAACTGTTAAATGTTCAAATTTTAAAAATTGAATTCTTAGTATAACTTTTTTTCAGTAGCTATGATTGAAATTTATGTAACTCTTGTAGGTTTTACTATTTTTAATTATTTTGTAAACCCAGTCCCAATTAGGTTTTTGTAATTTTCCGAACCTTGTAGACACATTGTAATTCATTTTTAATGCGAGAATGTGTCGATTAAACATCTTTATTATTATTATTAAAATAGAGAGATAAACTTGAAGTAATTATTATCTCTCTTAGCCTTCTCACATGTAATTAACTAATAATTAAGTTAATAATGTAAATTGTAAGCAATGATGTTGTAAATTAGCATTACGTATGTTGATGTAAGTAATTTCCATTTACTTTTTTTGTTCTCTTTCCCTTTTAGTGTGGTTCTGTATTTTTTTGTATTTCAATGTCATTCAACTTGTCACACAATTTCAATGTCACACAACTTCATAGCCATAACTACAACCAGCATGTTTTTGATACCTGTCAGTATAAGATGTAGTATCACTTGGCTGGTATCCTTCCACTTTCTCCGTAATTGCCTAATAATCTGCGTAGATAACATAAGGCACCGGCATCTGCTTGCGGTAATTTTGGAACTGGAGTATATTTGTTGCTTTTTAGCGCCACTGGTAATGGTATATAAGATGATCCCTTTGTTGGTTCATACACAGCATTTCATACACATACACCTGTTCATACACTTGATAACCAAACACCAATGCCATTCAATAATTGCTGCTGCGATAATTCCAAACTTGGTAAAAAATCGTTTGGGTTAATTACAATTTGTGTCTGACTATTAAAATATATTGGATCTGAATATATAGTCTTATCATCCTTCCTCTTATTAAAAATAACCACAATAGTCTCCACAAATTTAAAACCCTTCATATTGTTTAACATAGTACTAAACAATCTACTTATTGCTAGCCTTGTATTTTGGAACTCTACTATGGCATCTCTATTAGACCTCAACTCTATCTCATATGATTTGGTAAAACCATTTAGAGCCCTTCGTTTTTCATTTATTTTAGTTCTAGGAGCTGGTACTGGCTGTTGTTTCTTAGTCCTAGGAGCTGGAATAGGCCTATCTTGAGTCCTTCTTGTTGGAGTGCGTATAGGGCATCTTGCTTCTTCACCTCTCATTTGAACAGCGGGGATAGGGCGTCTTGCTTCTTCCTGCATTCTAACAAAATTTTGGAGTTCACTCGTTGTGATCCCCGATAATAACCGCCTCATTAATTCATTGCGATTGGTCCTCGTATTATTACTATATATTATTATTTCTCTCATCTCACTGCACATCGGCATAATAGTATAAAGTAACATTTCTTTAAGCTGTTTTGGGTTTCCCAGGGTCAACTACCCTCCCCTACTCCAATTTTTACCCAACACTAGATTACTTAATCGATAATCATCCTCTCTACCATTTTTGTGTTTTACATACATTCCCGAAGGTAATTCCGCATTCCAACACTCCCAAATAAACTTATCTCTTAATACCATAACTTTACCCATTATTTTGTGCTTTAACTTCACAAACGACCTTTCGTTCAAGTATCTTTTGACCTCACAGGGGTCACCAGACTTTATATTAACTATTTTACCCTACTTTGTAACACCTTGATCTATAAACAAGGGGTGCCCCTTAATTGCATCATCATCATCTTCCGAGGCCTCGTCCTCACTATCATCTTCCTTTTCTGGGTCCTATTCTTCACAATTGTCATCATCTTCCGGGGCCTCATCCTTACTATCATCTTCCTCTTCTGGGTCCTCTTCTTCACCATTACCATCATCTTTCGAGGCCTCATCCTCACTATCATCTTCCTCTTGGGGAGCATCATCTGGTACAACACGAGACTCATCTGTATCCCCATCACTGAATTCCGAAATAGTATCCAATGACTCTGTCCGAGCTAAATTATCGTCATTTTGGGCCCCCAAAAAAGCAATATCTTGCTCCAGTCAGGCTTATCATAGCTGTTTTTTCATGCTCTAGAAGGGCTCGGAGAGTCTCATCATCGATTCTATATAATAGTTCTCTGATCATGTCCTGACGCACGGTCATACTATTATAGGGCGACATTTCTTTAAGCCATTTTGTCCCAAAATCCAATGAGCCACCTCAAAATTGCTGACCTCAACAAAATCCAATGGTCAAATCCAAACTGCGCTAGAACGCCTATTTACCTAACTACTATTATGATATGGGACAGAGTTCTCCTATCACCTCATCATTAATTTCGTCGTAGTTATTGACCAGGGTTTTGTTTCAATGGCCGGTAATGTAAATGATTTTGTGCCTCGGTTGTCCGGCTCACAACCTTTCTGATAGAATGTACTGAAATTTGATTTGCATTAACGTTCAGAGTCTGTGCCAGGGTCTTTCAAGTTCGCAGGGGGCCTTGGTTTTTGGACGCTGCATTTGCCAAGTACAAAGACCCAGAGGTCCACATTTCTCATGGGCGCCTTCTAAGAAACTCTTCAAGTGACCGGACAGGATCTCGTGGTGTTTTCCTACGTTTCGCGTTCAAGCCACCGGAACGGGTCATCAACTTGGGTCCTCATTGAACCATACGCAGTTCGCCACTTAAGGGTTGTGATGGTCTTAAAGCCTAGAAACCTAAAGTGCTCGCAAAAAAATGTTTGAAGTTAACATTTGTGAATGCCCGTTCATTGTGGTCGCCTAACAGGCCTGAACAACGACTCTTGGCCTCAGTGATCACAATCTTATTTACACGGTTATGCTGTTACAATGTACAATCAGTTCTCTACAAGGCACTGATTTGTTCCCGTAACTTATTACAATACAGTATTACTTCCTGTCTTAATTTTTTAAGTCATTTAGCAGCCCAAGACGCACTACCAAACCATTACCGAACCACTGTACCCTGAATTTGCACCCTTTTCGCCGGCTGATTGTCCCACAGTTATAAAACAATAACTTCAGTGATGATCTGGAGCATAACTCACCCAAGGTTTTCATCCATTTCGTCCTCCCTGGCATCTCCTGTTATCCTAGAAGTAATTTAACAACCGAAAACAGAGATTTTTTAGATTACGTCATTAATTGGTTTTATAAATAGAAATGCGCGATAATAAAATGACAATAAAGTGATGATAAAATCCCGTAATTAACTACCAATAAGGTTATTCGCCTCTCTTTTTACACAACGTGTAAAAAGACCTACCAAATTCGCAAACTCTTTCAAATCAACTAGTCTCCAGTACCTCTCAGTTGCTGGCCCTTATTTTCGACATCCTATATTAGTATATGCTAAAACAGTGGATACTGTATTCCGCGTGCTCTGATTGGCTACTCAAAGTCGGAATATCCATTGCTATTCACTGATTCACCCTCCAGCTCCTCCGAGCGAGCGACGCGAAACTCGCGAAGAAGGTGACAAAATTCTGCTTGAAAGCTTTAACAGGAAAAACGTTGTCAGTTCTACTTGAATTTATCGATGGAACCAGTGGAAAAGATTTTTGTATTTTATATTTTACATGTTCAAAAACGAGCTTAAAACTAAATTTAACAGTTTTTATGTGAATGGTTTTAAATACAAAGAGAATTCATAACTCCTTTTGAAGAAAATTCCCTACAATAGCTAAAAAAATGCCTTTCAGTTTTATTGGACCACAAGAAAACGTGACGGCCTTTCGGTCATTTGCGCGCCAAAATTGTAATTGTTGGCAGCAGTTACTGAGTTGAAAACCATGATTTTTGTGCTCAATTATCTCACTGTTTTAGAATAGACTGAAAAACAACAACAATTAATCACCTCAGCGCCGGTGGCTAGTAGTAGATATCCACCACCAGCCAACTCCACTTCAGTGAACAACTGTCATCCATTGATGCCATATCAGTGGATATAGCAAACGTCTTAGAAATTCTAGCCTGTTCCAGGCTCTCAGATAGTGGGGAAGGCGCGAAAGAGTGGGGAAGACGCGAGAGTGCTTTCTCAATACCGCGGACCCGCCTATCGCGGAGCCTGGAACAGGCTATACAAATTCGGTCGTCCCTAGCTGCTTATCAAGAAATAACCGGGGGATTTGAGCCCAACAGAAACGAAGAAATATTATTTAACAACTATTCGCCGAAGGCGATTTTTTCGTCTCGGGGATTATTCAACAATATTAACTTCGCCTGAGGTGAATAATTGTTTTAGTATATTCACACGAAGTGATCTCAACAGAATCAGAAAGGAAACCATTAAAAAGCGATTAGTTTGATTTACGGGTGAATTCATGCGTGAACACGAAGCCGTAGACAGTGGATGCGCAAAATTTAGATCTTTACAGTATCTTCAGACATGGCAAATGATCGTTTTAATCTTTTTGTATCGAGTTTTGTAAGCTTTAGCATCAACGGTTTAAAAGAAAACGCCGAAAATTTAAATTACTACCCAATTCTGAGAAGAAAAGTAGAGCTTTATTTGTTTCTGTCAACTCACCGTAAATGAGAAAGTTTTCTTTGTCGCTTCTTGCAAAATGCTATCAACAGCGGCTACGATCAAGGTGAGCGTTGTTTATCTCCAAAGTTCTTTGCCTTGTCGTCTGGCTGGCACGTACAGTTTTCGAAAATAATTGCCTTCCTCTTTCCTCCATAAATTAACTTCTATTTATAGGCAAAATTGGTCTAGCGAGAAAATCTCGAAATCACAAAACAGTGACAAAGCGACCTCGTTTTCCTCTGTAGTGGTAAACATAGCTTCGAGCGTACAAAAAGTCAGCTACAGTAAACCACTTCACAATAAATCACGCCGTTTAAACACCATGAAGTCTTTTCTTGCCTTCAAAGTCATCAGCACTTGGATATTCGTGTATTTTCAAAAAGGCTTTACAATGAAACTTTGGCAAAACACCCAGTTCACGACAGCGATTTTGTTCTGCTTTATATTCACCGCCTAGCGCGGTGAATATAACGTCATAGTCCGTGATAGCTAACCAATCAGATTGCTTGAATTACCAAGATCACTGAGTGTGTATATACTAAAAATAAATAATGAGACCGACTATTACATACACTGAAATGTACAGTATGTGGTCCTTTGTCCGGACGAAAAAGACGTAAATGAGTATTTCTTATCTTAGAAGAGGGGTAGTGAATTGAAATTTGTCCTGTTAGTTGCCGTAACATTTTACTAACTAGTGACAAACCGGCAGCTTCTGAACTTTGCCAAAAATCCTGGATCATAGAAAATAACCTCGGGGTTTGAAGGCCCCTGGTCCGGCAAAAGGTTCCTTAGTGCGGCCACTTTGTAAGCCGACATGCAAACTGTGCGCAAAAAAGAACGTTCCAGGTGCAAACTGATCTACATTTCTGTATATTTTCTATAGGAATCATTTAAAACTTCGAAACCAAAATGAGATTTCTGTGCAAGGAGCAAAAGTTGGTCTTATGAAGACGAGGGTTATTTTTTTCGTTTCTGTGCGAATGTGCGTCGTGCAGTTACGATGCGACGGCAGCGAATTCACCACTATTTTAAATGAATTCAATCCAGCTTAGAGAGAAAGAAAGATTTAATTTGTCGTCGCTTGTTTACGGCCTCATAAAAAAAATTTCTCATCAGGAAATTTTATGCCTTAAAGTACGGAAAAACGGGCAACAAAAAACATACAACTTGTTTTGCAACATTGCTGCAAAACGAGTTGAAAAGCGATGTTGCGCGTTATAAGGCCCACGTAAAACCTGTCTTGCAACAGATCAGGTTGTTAACAGGTTTGAACATGGGTGGTAAAACGCGCAGAACATCGCTTTTCAACTCGGTTTGCAGCAATGTTGCAAAACACGTTGCTCGTTTTTTCTTGCCCGTTTTTCCGTACCTTGAGTCGTGCTGCAACGGCAAAGAGATCCGACCAAAAAGCGTGCGCCATCATGCATGCGCAGTCCGTGCAGAGTAACGTTTTGCTTGTTAAAAACCATTGCTTTAATGTTTTGACTTTGCTAAAACTCCCCAATGAATCCAATCAGACGAATATAAGCTTCTTTTTTATGGCCTTCTATATCATTACTTAAATTAATAAAATGCATTGCTACATGTACTGGGAGAAAGTCTTGAGCAATATGTTTAACTTGAACGTAGCCTGAATTTCATCCGATTGCTTCGAGTCGTTTTTTTCTTCTCAGCAACGTCTGAATCGACCGGCCGTTAATGCCGTCCAGTGACGTCATCACTACCCGAAAACCAGGTAGTGATTTTGATTAGACTACGAGTAGTCCCCATTTTTCCTCAGGGATAGTAGAGCGAGCGAAACGCGAGCACGCGTGAAAATCACCCCACGCGAGAAAAGGCGACACGCGGCGGGGAGAGAGAAAAATGAAGGACTACAGAAAAAGCCCGAGCTTTTGACCC